CCTCCCCCTTCGAGCCTAGTTTAAAGCTCTGTTGATGAGCCCTGCTAGTATCTGGGCAAAGATCCTCTTCCCCCTTTTTAAAGAAATGAATCCCATCAGGGTTCATCAGGCCTAGTGCCGTGTAGGCCACCCTATTGTCAAAGAACCCAAACTTGTGGCGTTGACACCCCCCAAAGTTGTGACATTGATAGCTGCAATGTATGCATCCATTCCACCATCACAGCTACATTGCCTGACTAAAAACAAACTCCTTCCTTGTTCAGACAGCATTCTATTATTATGAGCTTAGTTACTTAATTTTGCAAGGATGTATGGGGAAAAAAACCAAACTGAGTCAATTAGTATACCATCAAATTAATGACATGGTGTTTTGTTAACTCATGTTACAGAACTGCCACCTCATACTGAGCACAGAGGATTACATATGTATATGAGCTCTCAGTTTCATTTATCTTAATAACAGCATTACCAGCTAAGCTCTCCTCAAGTCTGAGTATAATTGTGAGTAACTTCCCTCTAGCAGGAAAGCTTTTCTTGGTTAGGAAAGAAAAATGTCACCTGCAAAGATGAGTCTTTGTGTTAACAACTGAGTATTATCATTTCCAATTTATTCTGAGTTTCAGTTTCTCAAGAGAATGTGTTAAAGCCATATAAATGAATAGACTTTCTTCTGCCAGACTTTCAGTCACAGATGGAGCATGTGCATATGTAAGTATAAAAATCAAATTTATATGTGTACGTGTGCATAGATATCCACATGCATACACATATATAAAAATACTTTCTTTTTTCCTCATATATTTATTACTTTCTACTGCTAGTGACCTTCCTCCGCTAAAAATAAATGAAAAAGTCCAACAAACGAGGGCTGCACGCTGAAGTCTGAAGTCCAAGATGGGTTTTGGAACCCATTCTTGTTGGAAGCATCAAAATAAATCCCCCAAATTCCTCTGGAACCATAATCTCTCCTTTCATAGATAACAAAGGATCTCAAAAGAGGGATACAAGTACCAACTGCATGTGTATCCAACTAAGCATTTCTAGGATGTGCTTGTGTGTGACAACGAAACTCCAGAACAGGTGCAAATCAGTCCTCCAAATGGGGAGGGAGAAGCATGACCTTAAGAAGTGATGACACTATATCATCACTAAGTTTTAGCATGTGTTATAATTTTTACAGTTTCAAATCTTGAACAAAAATTATTCTTCCAAGTTCATATGGGAGTCAGCAAATTACTAGTAGCTACTATTTATTGCAGTAGTGTCATAAGCCTTTCCTCTTCCATTCTCATAAGTAAAATTTAGCCTGACTGAATCTCTTCTAAGTCAAAAAAAAAGGCTATGTGCAAGAAAAAAAAAAAAACACTTTAAAAATAATATTTTTTTTCTATTAAAAATTATATAGTAGAAAGGACAGAGAACCAGATATGGGAAAACTGAAGCAGATAAAAGATGCCAGCCTTCAGATGAAGAAAGGAATCAAAACAGGAGGAAGAACAACAAACTACGGCCAAAAATAACATAAATTAGAAAGAAAGGAAAGACCCTATGAGGACATTATATCAAAGAACAAATAGCTTGGAGAGAAGGAAATAAATGGTATGGGAAAAGATAAATAAAAAAGGAAAATAAATTTTAAAAAAGCAGGTGGTAGCTTGAATATAACAATTATAGTCATGTTTTGACATTTTGCTATTCTTCCCCATGGCTGATAGTTTCTTTAGCAGCTAGATTTTATCACCCCGCTGGATTACTTGGGCTTTAAAAACAAACTAGAAGGGAAAATGAAAAGTAAACTTGAAATTTTTACTTTTACAGTATTGCCTCTCAGATTAAGCTAGTGACCACATTAAAATGCAAATAGCTAACTTATGCTCTCACACAAGCCATCTGGAAATCCTATGTTCTTAAATATATCAGTCTGAATTATTATTTACAGAAGCTGTTGAAATTTTAGTATCTATGTCAAAAATCACATATCTTGATTATTTTTTAGGCAATAAAGACAAGTGTTGGAATGCCTTGTAAATATACCTTGCAATATATGGTCTGAGAAAGAATAATAGGAATATCTTAAGGACACAAAACAGTTTGGGAATGGGACTGAATAAAGCAAGAATGGAATGGGCAAATTCTGTACGACAGTTAAGGAATACACAGCTCATGCATGCATAGAGCAGTCCAACAAGCCTCACATAATCTTGAGAGCACAGTATTGCTAACATAAATTGGGACTTCGTTTGACATTATTACGTTTCACATATTTTAAAAGAAAAAAAAAATACACAAAATGTATGCATTTGTCAAATCCTGAATTTAAACAGCATTTTTCAAAAACGCAGACATTTTTTATCTGTGAAAAAATCTACTTCTCTACCTTAACAAAAGATAAAAGATATTTATTATATACATACATTTCCATAACATACATTTGGGGGAAAAAAATAAGACTATATTCAAAATGACTTCAAATTCATTACTTTTACACAATCTTAAAGAGACATTAAAGTGAATGTTCAAATATTAAAGTAATGCAAAGACAATAAAGATAATGTGCTTTTGGTTAAAACAGTATAAGCGCTTCACACAAGGAAATTGCTCAAAAGGTTGTCTCTTCAATTCTGAAATCTGTTTGACGTGATGGTTAACTCAAAAGCACACCTGAATTCAGAGGAGGTATCTGAAACTGTTTAAAGTGGAAATCAATACACTGAAATAATAATTCTTGCATGAGTTATGTTGAAAATATAGTGTAAGCCACGGTCAGGAAATCCACCATCTGCCCATAATATTAAGACAAGTGGTAATAGTGCTGAATCAGCAGGAGACCTTAAACTTTATAGCAATAACTAGCAACGTTAGACCTCAGGATGCATCTGCCTTCCTTTAGCCTAGTCAGTAGCTTTATGTCATAGCTTAGGTTTTGCTTCAACTTGCACAGTTGTGCTATTTTAGCAGTCAGCATGAGCAAAGCCATTAATCCAATAAGAAAAGGAGCAATAAACAGTTTTAACAGTTGGTGTGAGGCATACAGTAAATGAGGAATGAAGCAGATGAACTGCGTGAAAGAAGGAGGTGAACTGTGCCCAAGGTAGTGTTACAGAGCACTTTCAAGCTTTTATCGGGAACCCATCAGCATGTAGGAAGTAAGAGGATTCAACAAGGCAAAGAACAAAACTGGGTAACACAGCAGCTACACAATGGAAACTGCCTGCACCTCACTGGGACTATGCTATGAAGAGGGCAGCCCTGCCTAAAACCTCTCAAGCATGGCCAGCTTATGGAAGGAAAATGAGGTTAGATTCAGATGTCTGTGTTCTCACATATGCATAAGTATCTTAAAATAAATAGGTCTTTTCAAGTGGTTGTTGTACAACAACAGCAAAACTATTATCTGTACAATTCAGTCTGATCTCTAAGTGACAAAAGGCTCACAGTCACAAATAAGTATCTCTAGTTCATTCAAAACCCGGGCTCTGGCTTTCTAGGGAACTGATCAAGTATCCAAGACCTTTTTATGTCCACATAACATTGCAGACTGAAACAGCCGGCATTCAAAACCTGAGGACTGAATCATGCTTTGTCCAAGTGAAAATCATTCCCAGAAGTCAAACCTAAAAAGGCAAAACCAAAAAAACCCCAACAAACCCAACCACCAACACCTCAAAACCAAAAACAAACCAAAACCCACCATGCACCAAAAAACCTGTTTACTCAACCTTCAAATTGGGAATTTGAGGTCATTGAAATGTCTAGAGGCTCTACAGAGCTCTCCTAGTTATTTTTAAAAAGCCTCTCTACAGAAAGATATCAAATAGGGAAGGAAGTAATAATGCAAACAATCTAGGCCAGAGTCAGCATTGGCAAGTTCCTTACATGGATGAGGGTGGAAAGAAACAGGCCAACCTGTCTCATTGCATGGAGATGTGACCAATGAACAAATCTCAAAGGGGATCAGAGGAGATGGGCAAGAAAGATGAGCTCAGGGAAGAACATAAGGAATGACTGCTAATTATCAGAAAAAAGGTTGATCTTGTCTCAACACAAGTGGGACTTGAGGGTGACCTTTTTTTCAGATACACAGCTGCACCAGTGGGTCACTGAGTTGCACAAATAGCCTTCCCCAAAATAATCAGTAGAGCGATGTCTTACTGAACTAGGCAGACCAGCATGGGGGAAGGGAGGGGTAGCAAGGAGGTGCATACGTAGCTCAGCTAACAGAAATATAAAAATCAAGTAATCAACAAAATGAACTTTGAAAAGAGCAACGGGCTTGAGCTGGCTTCAATGCACGTATTCCTTCCTGGCAAGTCAGGACACCCAGTGCCATGCTGGTGAGCACATGGAGACCAGTAATGGGAATCACATTTCTATTGTGATCCAACTGTATATTACAATTGACACACTGCACTTGTGTTGCAATTTCAGCACGCTACTGTACCACTGCTACATCAAAATCCTGTGTAAAGTAAATATCTAAAAATAAGTAAATTTATTATCAAATGTTAAACCCTCCTTGTATGGCATACCTAAAAGAACATGGTCAGAGAGTAGTATAGACCTATGCAGCATATTCTTCCACAAATGAATAACAGCACTTTCAAACAATACTTTCACACCCACATTCTTCAACAGTGTTGCTATTTTTTTTCTAAAAAAAAAACCAAAAGCACATTAACATTTTGTACATATTTTCTCTCTTCTAAACAACCATCAAAAATACTTATCAATAGAGTCGGATAAAAAGTGACAGGATGTACTTGTCAATATTGTAATATTTCTTGCCATCTGGATGAGCTTAATGCATTAGGAAACTTAAGGTTTGGATACAAATTAGTAAAGCTGCTTTCCTTGCCAACAGCTCTTAGCTGCTAGGTATCATCTGAATGTACACCTGTCTAGACACAGCCAAAAAGTTATTAGTTACATTCTGAAGACCAACCTATGTAATTCAAGGTAAAAAACAAAGGGACTTTGTCTAATGCCCTGAAATACCTTACCTTTGAATCATATGCCGATTGCTTTATTACTTCAGGTGCCATCCAAAATGGTGTTCCCACAAAGGTATTCCTCTTTATCTGTGTATCTGTTAGTTGTCCTGCTACTCCAAAATCTGCTAGTTTTACTTCTCCTTGTTCAGATAGCAATACATTAGCAGCTGGAATAAAGAAGAGGAAATAGCAGAAATTCAGACATTTGACACTGGAAAGGTGTTCATAGATACTGCATGAGCTCTTCTAATATTATTAGAACACAAATAAAAAACAATTTACCTTTAATATCTCTGTGGATTTTCTTTTCTGAATGCAAGTAATCGAGTCCTTTGAGTATCTCCCTCAATATTGTAGCAATCTGGGTTTCATCAAGTGAGCCAGGTTCTAACTGGGAGACACAAGAAATTTTTATATATATGTGTGTGTGTGTTATGTTGACATACGCATACATACAAAAAAGGAGAAACAGAGAACAGAAATAACATTGTGACTATAAAAAGACTACAAAACTCCTTCTGTTACTCCTCAAAACTTCCAATTTACTAACTTCGTAACATGAGATAACACCCAAAATATTCTTTAAAAAAAATTTACATAGTTCTAAAGTACTTGGCCTTATGAACAAGCAAAGAAATACTTCAAATATCTAAAACACTTTTTAAATGTTTGTTAACAGCTCCATAAAGACACAGTTTCAAGTTATTGCTTTGTGGTCAGGTCATAAATACATACAGTGCGTTTGAAAAGCATCTACGTTGTAATCTAATGATTAACATTTCACTGAACTTAGATGTGCCAACTCCACAGGCCCTATATGGACCCAAATCTCAGTGTGTGAGAAAGAAACTAAGGCATATATGGTACCAAATCAATCACATATCCTATTACTATATACTGCAAGGGATTTTGTGAAGCTCTCTAAAACACAACTCAAACTTCTAGGCTGACAGAGCATGGCATAGTAAAAAAGTTAACTTTTTTCATATAAAACTGAAAGTATAAATCTCCAAATTGATAGAATTAAAGGTTTCAAGAAATTTAATTCTTATGAGAAGAAACAGCATTCGTGGAAGATCCCAGAGCTCTGTACAACTGATACAAATTCTAAAAGTGAGTATGCCACTATCTCTAAAGGGACAGAGGAAAGGTCACTACCCAGAGAGGCTTCTTAACCAGTAAGAGCATTTTGAGAGAGACTCTGAAACTTTGTGGACAACAATTAATATTGGAAATATTCCAGTATTCTAGTTTACTCCACAACAGCAGTCACTGAAACACAACCAAAGAGTTACATCTCTGAAGCTTCACTATGTGAGAAAGAAAGCATTTCAGATAAAAATTTTCAGTTAAAAATTAAAATATTACATCCCTCAGAAATCCTCAGCTAAGAGGTAGGAACAGAGCTAAGATTTCATGTAATGCAGACAACATATTTATTTTACCTTTGTAGCTTTACTTACAGTCTGTTTTGCTTTTCTTTAGCTTTGATAATATACATGATATTGCTACTCCCTGAAACCCACTAAGACATTATAAAGGCTTTGCTCTGGCTAGGCTGCAAGTGCCAGTTCAAGACTTGGCAACGTGACACAGCACATCTAATGGGGGAAAACCTCTTTTGTCAGATGTTATCTCACCCTAGGAAGGTGATGAGGTTAGTGAAAAGAGACCGAGAATGTTAGCATTTGTACCTCAGCCACAAACCGAAACTACACTCAAAGTTGAACAACAACGTACAACATGTAATTGCATGAAATGTACTTTCTCTTGTGAAGTGTGATTTTCAAAACACCCAGTGCATATTCAAGTACAGAAAACATGACACATCTATACTTTGAACATGGAATTCAAGAGTCCTATTCAGTCTTGCCTCGAGTACAGAAACATGATAAAGTGTGCCAGTTGTCCTACCAGATTCCAGTTGAGAACCATAGTCTGCATGTTAGAACTAGGAAAACACGCAGCAGAACATAAACTGCAAATGAATGAAGCACACACAAGATGTTTAATATACACTTATATGATGATTTCAGTTCTGTGGAACAATTTCTTGATAACATTTCAGGATGTAACCAAACACTTTGTGCTATTTCTAGGCAACAAACTTGGGGAATAAACATGTGGTCATCACACAAGTGAAATGTGCATGATTACAAAAAAAGACATGAAAACACGGTAATAGCTGTTTCCTGTCTGCTCTTTTATAGCTTTTTAAAGCACAAAGAATAATTAATTTGTAAAAGCAAACTCAGTTTCTAATTGTTCTTCTATCAGGAAAAAGCTATCACAACAATAAATAAGCTTTATCTTTATGGGGAACATCATCCATTTCTACACAACCACAGAACTCCTTCTAACGGGATGGGGAAACTAAAGGTATAAACGGGTTCCACAAGGTAAATACAATTAAAATATGGCAGCACAACTGCAATTGTTATTGCCTCCTATTTTCTGGATGTTACCAGCTAAATCCCTCTAAACAAATCTTTTTCCTTTCACTCTTTCATCGAGCATTTTTCAGTTGCCCCAGTTGAGAACAGCAAACTATGCTACTGAGACATTCAGTCTCAACTGGTATGACAATTTCCACATACTTAAGACATCCATTTTTATTTCTATAATAGTATTTTTAAAACCTTCAATAAATATAAGATGGCATGTCATTTTATTTATTTTTTTTAATAGCTAAAGTAAATGGCCAGTATCTAGTCATGGAAAACACAATGTGCACTGAACCTTTCGAATTATGATTCAAAACTGAGTAATTTTTTGTTATTGTATCTGATGCAATTAATCTAGTCTTTCAAATATCCCGAACCATATCGCTAAAAATCACACTTTCTTAAGCAGATCTCCTTGCAGAGTTACATACACAAATCTTTGCCAGAAGAGAAATGGAACAGATATGATTCACTAAATTTACAATTTACAAGGTTCTATTGTGTATTTACTGCATGCAAACACAGAATAAGGTGCTGTGACCACTGGGGAGCCTGTTCCAGTGACTGACAACCCTCTTGGTGAGAACATTTTCCTAATGTCCAATCCTAACTTCCCCTGATGCAGCTTCATTCCATTTCCTCATGTCCTGTCATTGGTTCCCAGAGAGTACCCCCTCTCTGCTGCCCACCTTGAGGAACTTGTAGACTGCAATGAGGTCACCCCTCAGCCTTCTCTTCTACAGGCTGAACAAATCACGTGACCTCAGTCATTCCTCCTAAGTCTTGCCCTCAAGACCTTTCACCATCTTGGTCGCCCTCCTCTAGATACACTCTAATAGTCTGATGTCCATGTATTGAGGTGCCCAAAACTACACACAATAGTTGAGGTGGGGCCACACCAGTGCGGTGTAGAGCGGTCACCTCCCTCAACCAGCTAGCTATGCTGTGCTGGATGCAGCCCAGGACACGGTTGACCCTTCTGGCTGCCAGGGCACACTGGTGACTCACACTCAACCTGTCATCAACCCAAACCCCCAGCTCTGTTTCCATGGGGCTGCTCTCCAGCCTCTCATCCCCCAATCGGTACTTACAACCAGGATTACTCCATCCCAGGTGGAGAATCTGGCACTTGCTCTTGTTAAATTTCATATGGTTGGGGATTGTCCAGCTCTGTAGTCTATCCAGATCTATCCGTAAGGCCCCTTTACCCTTGCGGGAGTCCACAGCTCCTCCTACTCCTTTGAAATGCATTTTTTAATACAAGTCTAAATTGCTTTTCTGTCTCTATTTAGACTTCAGTGAGACTTCAAACAGGGAAACTTTGTTTGTTTGTTTGGGGGGGTGGGGGGTGGCAGGGAAGAGATGTTAAAATGTATACGCTAGGAGGAGTTGTGGTGGCAGAATTAAGAGAAGAAAAAACTATTTTCAGCCACTAGTGTTCTCTGGCTGACTGAAGATTACCATTCTAAGATGTTTATATCCTGCTTCCAATATTATGTTGCTTAGTTCCCTTCCATCTATACAAATAATCAGTCTTGCCTCATGGAAAAGAATATTTTCCTGGCATTGACAAATACTTTTTCTCCTTTACTGGAAGCAAACATTGTCATAGCAAAATGACATATTACATTTTTCAGAATTATAAGATAGGAAAATAATTATGTGAGGTAAAATAACAAAACCCAGACATAATTTACTTACTAGATCAAGGGCAGAGCCTCCACCCAGATATTCCATTATTATCCATAATTTTGTATCCTGCAAAACAAAAAAACAACAAAAAATCTAT